TCTATATTTCCGCATCTACACTCATCGACACACTACACGGATAATATTTATCCAGTAGCTGGTCATTATAATCCTTGTAGGTAGTTAAATATGAATTCGCCATTGCAATTCTCGATAAATAGAATTAACTGATAGCTCAATCATTTTCGAACAAAGCCCGAGTATGAGCGAGTTTGCACTTCATATTATATAACTAGGTAAAACTATATATGTATATGCATCCATGTACAAGAGTGTTCTTTAGTTAACGATCCAATAGACATTCAACTGATTACGTTCATTTAATATTCATCAAAGCTCGCTCGACGGAATAGTAAATATTTTAACGTTTAAAAATCTTCATTCTGAGAAGATCCGACTATTTATTATCATTATTAAAATTATTATCTGTATTATTAAGAGAATAAGAAAAATTTTGTGTCCAGGATAATATAATAAAATCGGTTTTTTAGTTAGATTTAGAGTCATTGCAAAGGTCTTGACTTGAATTTGTGCCTTTTCAAGGTTTCATATCATTTTCACTGATAGTCAATTTATTATGATGAGTAATTAGGCTGCATTCGAAAATTCTCTATCTATAGATACATAATTAAGAAATGATCTATTATCTTGTGAAATATTGACATTTTTAAAGATATAAGCTCATCCCGATGTTACACTCATCGATACCTTTCATTTGAGTACTCACATCAATTTTTCATATATTTATATATATTATATATATGTATATATGAAAAATATATCAAAAATTTATGTGGGTACTCATATGAAAGCTCTTGATAAGTATAACATCAGGATGAGCTTATATCTTCAAAATATATATTATATATATGTATATATGAAAAATATATCAAAAATGAATGTGGGAACTAAAATGAAAGCTTTTGATAAGTGTAACATCAGAATGAGCTTATATCTTTAAAAACGTCAATATTTTAAAGAGTACAGCGCAATTTAACAAAAGTCATTATTTAATAAAACAAAATTTTAATTTTTTACAGTTCAATTTATTATGATAAGTATTTAGGTTGCATTTGAAAATGTTCTATCTCCAGATTCATAATTGAGAAACAACCTTGTATCTTGTAAAATATTGACATTTTTAAAGATATAAGCTGATCCTGGAGTTACACTCATCGAGACCTTTTATTTGAGTACCTACATCAATTTTTCATATATTTATATATTTTATATATATATGTATATATGAAAAATATATCAAAAATGCATGAGGATACTCAAATGAAAGCTCTTGATAAGTGTACCATCGGGATGAGCTTATATCTTTAAAAACGTCAATAGTTGAAAAAAATACAGTGCAATTTAACAAAAGTCATTATTTAATAAAGCAAAATTTTATTTATTTATAGTTTACAAGTCACGGCAATGACATAGCAACTGCAAAGTTGCTAGTAATTATTATTATTTTAGAAGAACATTTTTTAATGAAGTGCCAAATCATTTTCTAGTTGCCATAAAAAAGGCTTCAACTTCTGAAATATTAATTTTATCGAAAAATTATACGACTAAAAATTATAGCTTAGAAAATTTCCTACAAAAAATGTTTTTATACTATGGAACTATCTTTAGTATTTTAGTATGAAAATGATTTATTGGAAATCAAATATGTTAGATTCGATTTATTATTCATTTGATAAATAAACATAAAAAGTAAAATCAGATAATCTTTGTAACAAATTACTAACTATAGAACGTTGCACGAAAGTGAAATAAAAAAGCAAATAGGGTTATAGTTATTATTATCATAATTATCATAAAATCTAATTACAGTAGTCAATTATAGGAATTGGAATTTCAGCGTGTTCATTGATTTCAATAAAGAATTTTCGGAGGTTATGGTAACAACATTTTGTGGTATACTCAACAAATAATAGTCAGGTAGCTGCAAATATACCCAGTAATACCACAATCATATAATATCATCGAAAATTTGTATAGTTATCGCTAGAATCACTGGTTTGTAAAATAACGATTTCAATCTCCACGGTCGACTATTTAATGTAGACCATTCGGTCACACAAACATAATAATCATTCTTCATTATTATTATTTATTATAATTTATAATTCAATAACGAAAACAATAATAATCTACATAATTAAGAGAAATTTATATTTTAAAGAGATTTTTATAAATTTAAATATTTTTAGAGTGAGTTAATTTTTTATGTCAAGTTTTTGGATGAGTTTTGAATAGTTTGTTGGATATATAAGTTTGTTCGAGAAATCTGATCATTTATTGAATAATTGGTAATTGATCCTCTCATAGGATATGATATTTTAAATTTAGTTTATAAGCAGCCAATCTATGTATATAATCATTAAAAATGTTGAATTTGTTTCTTATTGTTATTATTATCATTATTGTTGAAAAAGTAGTATAGTTATTTATAGCCGACTTATTACGAAAACATGAGTAAAGTTTGTAAGAATAACGAGAACTGAAAAAATATTGAAATAAACGTAAGAAGCGTCTTCAAGTTTAAATGCGACGGTAACTAAAATACTTTGTGAACTGTATAATATATATTATATAGGAGTAGTATATAAAATATAGTATATAGTGCAGTATAAAGGAAGACTCTTTTAGTTAAAAGGAGTAGGAGTTACCGGTGGTAAAACGAAGCACCACTACCACGGCGAGGAGTAATATTTACTTGCGGTTTAAAAGGTAAAGAGAGTATAGAAGCTAAGTTGCAAAACACCAAAAAACCAGACGGTAAATAGTTACATAGTTAAGTGCCACCTCAAAAAGGACAATTTCACTTTTTTGTAATCTTGTTAAATTTTTAAATTGCTGCGATAATCTTTTTGCATGAGGTTAACATTATGTTTAGTATCCGGAAGGAAATTTTATTTGTAAATTACCGTGAAAATTATAGCAATTGTAGGACGTTTTGCATTTTCTAATATAATTATAATTTTTTGTTTAATTATTCATAAATACAATGTAAAAACATACAGCGAAGTACTTAAAAATAATTTTAAAGAGTTTCATTGTCTTGAATCAAGACGAAAAATTCTTGAATGAAGTAAATTTTACTTACAAGAAAAATTTCTTAGTTTAAGAACGTTCCGAGAAAAAAACATTTTCTTAAAATTTTTTTGAAATTTTGAGTACTTTTACTCATAAGTATCCTCTATACGCAGGAATTCTTTTAAATAGTCCTTGCGGCACTAAATTTTGAAATATTAGCATTTAAAATTTGTATATTTTACATACAAGCCCTGTGCTGATCGACGTTCAAGCAAACGTTTTATTAAATATCAATCGTACTTTTCTTAAGATTGTTTTAAAAAACTGAGAATCATTAATTGAAGATATAACAAGTATTTTTTATCAAAAATAACATAAACGAGCGGTATTGATTTTTTTATAAAAAATGTTTGAAGTTAGTGACTTTGGATATTTTACGAGAGTGGAAGTAAGTGAGCGAGTCTGTAAAGAGAGGTAGCACTAGTGCGTGAGAAAGAAACCAATACCCATAACCTATTGGTGTCTTTTTCTTGTCTATGAACGCCCTTAAACTTAATACTCTAAAGTTGAATCTCCTTCAAGGAGAAAATTAAGCGACCATGCGCCATCTGTTGAAGTTTTTCCGTACTTCCCGGGGAAAACGGTTTAGATCTGACCAGATATAATTATGTGTGTGGTAAGCTGCGGTAACAAGCTTAAAAATCTTATCAAGAACGATCAACTGATTTATGATCGAATAAAAAATTCCTTCCGCCACAAATCTAAACTACTTATTTTAAATTATTTTACTATCTCAATCTCCGACTCAAGCCCTCAGAGAAAAATTTATTGAAGATTATTGAAGTTCCCTCGTACCGATAACATAAGAATATCGAACTTACAGAGAGTAAGAGCCCTCCAAAGTGTACTACAGCCCCTATTGTAAGCTAGCATCCATATTACGATAGAACACCGAGATTAATAGTTCTCGCAATAAAAGTATCCGCTTAATACTTAATACATTTTCCGATAAGTAATTGTTATTCCGCTCGTAAATACTGCGATGTGAATGTCTTGTTACTTTGTATGTACTCAGTGTCCTGAAAGAATCCCATATAGGACCTACTTATCCCAGGTGGATCCCCACGGGATACACGACGTACGATCAGACTCCACTCGACAGAAAATGTATTGAGGTAGGTGAGCCGTGCAGTAGGTTACACCGGCGGAAAGACAAAAGGAGAAAAATGACAAGATCGATTCTATTCACGGACTTGGAATTTAGAATTGACACCTTGTAGAAAAATTTTGTGATTTATGCGTAATATATTGAACAAAAATTTGTTTAGTGGTTAGTTGAGATAACAATTAATGTTAGATATGCTTTTAAATAAAGCGAAAAGATTATTTTTGACTTATTACTTAAGTCTTCAAAATTAAATCTCTGGTGGCGAGATGATTTAGCGACTATGCGCCATCTGTTGGAAATTTTCAACACTAATTTTCAAAAATCAATTTTACGATTACTTATTAAATCTGGACTTAAAATAAAAATAGATTAAGTTAAATGTGATGTAAAAAATTATTATAAGTTATTCTTAAGACAAGATATTATTAAGGCGTGGAAATATTAAAAAATTTTTTTAGGGGTCATGATGTTTGATACTGTCATGTAAAATAAAAGCACATATTTAGACGCACAGCGAACCGAGTAGAGAAACCAAGTGGCTGTATGTCTCACTGGAATGTAGCATTTGCATCCACTAAAATTAGTATTATTATTATTATACATAAGTATAAAGTGCTCGTGCTCATTCTCCACATCACCTGTCTAGTTTCACAGAATCTCATTTATCTCGCTTATAATTTAATCTTCATTATTCATTACAATTACGAAAAATAATTAATGCGCCGGTAAAAAACACGGTGTAACATAAAACGTGAATTAAAGTGGATCTGGGTCGTAAAAAATTTACTGTCACGATACTTATTTTAGGTTTCTATTTCAGAGTGGACATAAAAGTTTAACTTTTAATTCGACTTACGTAAGCTCCGTTGAGGGTCCAGGTGACGTTTGGGGCAGGATGGGAGGCACCTGAGGTGCAGTTCGCTTTCAGAATCTCGTTCGGCTCGACCCGTGACTTATCTACTAATATCACAGGATCCGTGTCTGGGACGTCTGTAAGTTGTAAATTTTAATTAGGAAGTGTTATTATAATTAAGGTGGATTATTATCATTAGGAAACTCGTTATTCATTCTTCGGAATTAATTATGATAGCAATTATTTTGGCAGGTGAGAAGGAAGCTGCTGGCGAGCAGCCAGACGTGTGATGGAAGGTTTGTTTCTAAAAAGAGTGTTTCAGAGGAAGTGGTTTTTAATTTTAATATCTAAATACAGAAACAATACTGATTAATCAATTAAATAAAATTTTTAAGCAAAAAAAAAACAATTTTATCGAATTTTTTTTTGTTTTTAATACAATTAGTCAATTGATTTATCAACAAAATAAATTAAAAATGTTAATTACTATTAAAATATTTAAGCTCTGTCTGCCTATATAATTTTTTAGAATTTTATTGTTAATTTTTTAAAAATAAATTTTCTGAGAGATAAGAAATTTTTTCAAAAACTAAAATAAAATTATTTCAATGGAATCTATATTATTAAGAGAATAAGAAAAATTTTGAATAAAAAAACTTTTCAAGGATTCAAAGTGAGTATTTAGGCTACGTTCGAAAATGCTCTATCTCAAGATACATAAATAAGAAATTACCTTGTATCTTGTGAATGATTAACATTTTTAAAGATATAACCTCACCACGACATTACACTCATCGAGACCTTTCAACCTTTCATTTGAGTACTCACATCAATTTTTCATATATTTATATATATTATATATTATATATATGTATATATGAAAAATATATCAAAAATGCATATGGGTACTGAAATGAAAGCTCTTGATGAGTGTAACATCGGGATGAGTTTATATATCTTTAAAAACGTCAATAGTTAAGAAATGACATTGTATCTTGTGACATTTTTGAAGATATAAGCTCATTCCGACATTACACTCATCGAGACCTTTCATTTGAGTACCCACATCAATTTTTCATATATTTATGTATATTATATATATATGTATATATGAGAAATATATAAAAATGCATGTAGGTACTCAAATGAAAGCTTTTGATGAGTGTAACATCGGAACTAGCTTATATCTTTAAAAACGTCAATAGTTGAGAAATGCCATTGTATCTTGTCAACTAATTATATTTTTAAAGATATAAGCTAAAATATATCAAAAATGCATGTAGGTACTCAAATGAAAGCTTTTGATGAGTGTAACATCGGAACTAGCTTATATCTTTAAAAACGTCAATAGTTGAGAAATGCCATTGTATCTTGTCAACTAATTATATTTTTAAAGATATAAGCTCATCCCGACATTACACTCATCGAAACCTTTCATTTGAGTACCCACATCAATTTTTCATATATTTTATATATTTATATATATTATATATATGTATATATGAAAAATATACCAAAAATGCATATGGGTACTCAAATGAAAGCTCTTGATGAGTGTAACATTGGGATGAGCTTACATTTTCAAAAATATTAATAATTAAGAAATGACCTTGTATCTTGACAACTATCGACATTTTTAAAGATATAAGCTCACCACGACATTATACTCATCGAGACCTTTCATTTGAGTACCCACCTCAATTTTTTATTTATTTCAGATATATCATATATATTACATATATGTATATATAAAAAATATATGAAAATGCATGTAGGTACTCAAATGAAAGCTCTTGATGAGAGTCACATCAGAATGAGCTTATATCTTTAAAAATATCAATATTTAAGAAAGCACAGTGGAATTTAATAAATGTTGTTATTTAATAAAGCAAAATTTATTATTTATTCTGATAATTAATCTCAACAATTAATAAAAGACACTTACTGATATCATTTTTATTATTATTTTCTGACTAAAAAATTAATACTTAAAAATTGTAAAGTTACACCGATAATATTCGAAGAAAAAATGGATTTCTTAATCAATAAAATATTTCAAAAAATTTTTGAATTCTAGTTCAAGGTAATTTTTAAAAGTGGCACCTACAATTTTTTCTAGGTTAAAAAAAAATTCTCCGTCAGGCAAAAAAGGAAAAGGCACTTTAAAATATTTATTCGGTACTCACCGACTACTTGCATGTGCTGCTCCTTCATGGCCGTGTGGTACGTGGGCATGTCCTCGGATACTTCGCATTTGTAGAGCCCCGTCAGCTCCCTCGAGACGTTGATGAGCGTGACGCCGTTCTCATCAGAATTCTTGATCTGACAATAAAAAATTTAGAAGTTACTCCTCGGATAGCTAAAAAGTAGAGAGTAAAGAGTGGAAAGCAGTAGTAGGTCGCAGGTTAAACTCGACCATTTTTTACAACTTTAGTTATCAGCGTTTCCTTACTCCGGCAATCTTTTCTCAGCGTATATTTTTTTATGGGCACGTCAAGCTTATTTACAACATTTTCGCCGACTTTAACATCTAAATCGGGTTTTCGCCACCATACATTTATATGCAATGCATTGAGTATCGTGCATGATTCCCTTCGCCTTTCCTCTATCACCTATCGCCATTTTTATGCTCCCTGTATAAAATGTATCTAGTGGTTCGAGGTTTTACATTTTCGAAGATAAAAGTTAAGTAGATGTTTTAAATAAAATCGTTACTGTAGATCGTGTTGTTTTAAGTTAAGCGAGTACTTCTTCAATACTTCTTATCTTCTTCTTCTTCTTCTTCTTCTTCTTCTTCTTATTCTTTTTCTTTTTCATATTCTTATTCTTACAAGAATATTGTCCTACATCTTCTACTTCTTTTTGAAGGTAAGATAACCCGTTTTACGCTTGATACTCCACTCCCTATCGCATGCAATGCATAGCCCGAGCTTATAACAACGACAATATGTCACAAATTTATGGTTGAATTATTTTGTTAGTTTAAAGGGTAAATTTGAGAGGAAATTCATGAAATTTTTGACTCTTAAAAAATATAGTTGATTGTTGATTCGAGATTAAAATTATTTTGAAGATAATTTTATGTTCCAAAAATCTTTCATGAAAATAATCTATACAGTTAATTACAAATCATTTATTAAAGACCACTTTTTAGTCCTTATAGAATATTTCTTAATAATTAAAAAGATTTAATAAATGAATATAAGATTTATTAAATACAAAAAAATCATTTTAAATACTAAGAAATATTTGTTTAATACTAAAAAGTGCTCTTTAATAAATGATTTGTTAACTATTAACAAATATTTTTTGAATACAAATAAATCCTTCTATCAGTGTATTATTAAGAGAATAAGAAAAATTTTGTGGCCAGAGTATTTATGTGATAAAATAGATTTTTTTAGTGAAATTTAGTGTTATTGTAAATTAAGGTCTTGATTTAAATTTGTACCTTTTCAAGGATTCATATTATTCTCACCAATAGTTAATTTATTATAATAAATATTGAGGCTGCATTCAAAAATATCTCTACATACATAATTACAAAATTACCTTGTATCTAGTGAAATATTGACATTTTTAAAGATATAAGCTCATTCCGATGTTACACTCATCGAGACCTTTCATTTGAGTACCCACATCAATTATTTATATATTTATATATATTATATATATGTATATAGGAAAAATATATCAAAAATGCATGTGGGTACTCAAATGAAAGCTCTTGATGAACGTAACATCAGAATGAGCTTACATCTTTAAAAATATCGATAATTAAGAAATGACCTTGTATCTTGAGAAATATTGACATTTTTAAAGATATAAGCTCATCCCGATGTTACACTCATTAGGAGCTTTCATTTGAGTACCCACATGCATTTTCATATATTTTTCATATATACATATATATAATATATATAAATATATGAAAAATTGATGTGGATACTTAAATGAAAGGTCTCGATGAGTATAACTCTAGGATGACCTTATATCGTTAAAAATATCATCAGTGGACACAATACAACGTCATTGCTTTATTATTCACATTTTTTATTATATAAGATCATATTGATATTACACTCATCGAGACCTTTCATTTGAGTACCCACATGCATTTTGATATATTTTTCAAATATTCATATATATAATATATATAAATATATATGAAAAATTGATGTGGGTACTCAAATGTAAGCTCTTGATGAGTGTAACATCGGGATGAGCTTATATCTTAAAAAATCTCAATAGTTGAGAAAATACAGTGCAATTCAACAAAATAATTTCTAATATATAAAAAAAAAAATTGCATCAATATTCAATTTAAATTCTACAAATTGCATTTTTTTTTTAATTCTCTTGATATCAATTTATTCGTTAAGGTATCTCAAAGATTCTCATATAAAAATTAATTTCTGTAACATAAAACTCATTAACTTCATTCAATCAAACGTAGTAATATTAATAATTAATTATTTTCAACTTTTGACGTCAGGATTCATCAACGAAACTTTTAAAAAAAAAAGTATAAAAATTTGGCTCATTATTCTAGTCAAATTAAAATATTCATATTTCCAAACTCAAACTTGAAATACATTGTTTAAAGTATTTGTTAGTAATTTAAAATATAAAACTTGTTTTAGCTGAATAAAAAAATCAATTAAAATTTAAAAACTCTATTCGGATATTTTCCAAATTCACGTCCGATTTTTTTCTTTTTAAATAAAAAATACCCTTTGTCCTTTTACTAATAACGATAAACAAAGCAAAATAAAATGTCAGACGCGATTATTTGGTAGCGTAACAACCCGTAGGCAGACTCGACAGCGAAATGACCCGGGATGTTGGACACTTTGTAAATTTAGCTCCTGTTTAAATGTACAATCCCGGTTATATGTATGTGCTTTTAGGATGTGTAGTATGTTAAAGTTCAAGCTGTGGAACGACAACTCAACTCAGTATAAATGTATGCCAAACTATATACACATATATGTATATTTAACAACGACAGGAGAGAAATTGTCGAAGAGATTTTTATTTAAATTTTGATTGACCGAAACAAGAGATAAATCCGCGGGATTTGTACAAGAGAATTTAATTAAAACATTCGTTACCCATGTCATGGTAAATAAATTATTTCAAACAAGTGCGCTCATTCATTTATTTACTTATTATTATTTATTCATTATTATTATGGATATGGATTATTATTATTAATATCCGGTTCAGTCTCTTGATTAATTGCCAGCGAGCTCGTTGAAAATATTATTCTGCTGGTAATGAAGGAAACTAATTTATCAATCAGCCGTAGTACTTTGTAAGGTTAAACTTGATCGGAGATATAAAAAAAATTGAGGAAAAAAAGTAAGAGGTAAAAGGCAAGAGGCAATAAATAGAAAAAAGGAAGAGGGCCAACAGGAATTTTATTCAATTCCTTTGGAACGTCGAGATAAAAAAAGGAAGAACGGGAAAACAAAGACTGTCAAAGGAGATGATCGACTCGTCTCTTCGACGACGAGTTGTCTCATTTTTCTGTCTCAAAGGGGAAAGGGAAGGGGCAAGAAAGAGATCCTGAGCTGTCCGGGATAAAGGTGAAAGGAAAGTATCGGTGAAAAGAAAAACGTCGAGATCCAGTTCAAACGGTCTATGAACAGAATTTCAAAAGTTAGTTTTGAGGGTGGGTATGGATGAAAAGATCGATCATAACTTAACGGATATATCGACATTCTGAAGGGATACCTTTTTTTTTGTTGGGGCTATTTCAAATTTTTATTGTTATTTTCTGTGTAAATAGCGATTTAAATATCAGGGAATGAGATAGCTTTGAAAAGGTACTTGATTATTTATTTTGTTGTGCGTAAGTTCAGAAAAAGTATTGAAAAATATTTTTTTGATTGTTAATTTTTGAGGTGTAAAATTTTGAGAAGTGTCTATCTATATCATAAAACTTTGAAATTTTTGAAACTTGTTATTAATTAGATGAGCTTGTTTTTATCACCAATGCGGTCAATATTTTTAACTAGTTTTAAACTAATTCAAGTCGAGATGGAGCATTCCATCTTCGCTAAAGATCGAGACGGGATTGTCTCTTGTTGTTAGGTCGATGGACTCCATCAAACAAGAACACTAGTAAGCTGGAAGCTGTTAGTATCTGTTCGAAGTATAAAGATGTTAATAAACGAAATCCTCTGAAAGCGAAAGCAACTTTGAAAAAATCCGTGAAAAATTAACCAAGCCAGGACTCGAACCTGGATCTTCTCGATAACATGTCGAAATTGTTATTAATGTTTAAACTAGCGAAACTTTTGAAATATTCAAGATAAAATATTGGTCTAATTTTTTTTGGGTAGGTTAGTTCTTTAGCTACAATTTTATTTTTTTAATGATCGGCTTTTGATCAATAGTTTTCGAAGTATAGAATTTTAAAAAGTATCCAAATCATAAAACTGAATTTTTGGAAACTAATTATTAATTTTTAAATAGATATATCTTTTAAACTATTGAAGATAAAAAATTGGTCCAAATTTTTTTGGGTAGATTAATTCTTTAGCTTCAATTTCATGTTTGTAATGATCGACTTTCGACCAATAGTTTTCGAGATATAAAATTTCGAAAAGTATCCAAACATAGAACTTTGAATTTTATCAAACTCATTATTAATGTTTAAACTATCTAAACTTTTGAAATATTGAAGATAAAAAATTGGTCCAAATTTTTTTAAATAGATTACTTCTTCAGTTTTATTTCCATTTTTGTAATGATCAACTTTTGACCAACAGTTTTTGAGTTATAGAATTTTAAAGTAATGTTAGTGTAATAAAAACGAAAAAATCCTTAAAATAAACTAACAAATTTGTTCTCGTCAGGCAATAAAAAAATGTTAGTTGCGTGGAAACACCATTACTTTACTTTAACGAAAAATTTTTATAAAAAAAAAAATAGTTAGTTCATTCTATTTATCAAAACTCGAAAATCTTTCAAAGTACCGACAGTTACACTAAAAGATACTAAAAAAGAAAAATATCCTGGACTTTAAAAAAAATGTATGTATATCAAAGTTTAGTTCCAGTGTATAAATTTGCTCTCAAAATCCGATATTTGTAGTATGAAAATACCCGGATAAAATGTTTTTTACACCCGGTACTAAAAGCGCAAAATATAATTTAAATATTTATCAGAACATGTTATTTGAATTACAGCGCTTTTATCAACAATAAAAAAACTAGTGTCTTTACTGCAGCAGTATCTCAAATATCGTAAAACGCGAACCAGATATATACGTTTATTGTGAAGCATAAAAACAGCTAAAGATAAAACCGTCAGAAAAAAAGCGAAGATGTTTATTGAAAAAAGAAATTAAATATCAAGCTTGCAAGCAAATTAACCAAAAACTTAAATTTGAATGAAAAAAAATGTTTTTTTGACTAGCTATTGAATAAAAACAATAATAATGTAAAACTTACATCAACTTTCATGCCGTTGACTGAATAGCTGTGTTGAGTTGGCAAGGCTTTCGGAACGAACCGATAAAATTCGTTGTCATTGAAGTACCACTTTATCGTGTACAAAGGGCCTTGAAGATCATAGATGCATGATAAAGATACGGCGTCGCCAGAACGGGCCATCGGTGGGACATTTATTTTTAAATTCTGTAAACCAGTTGCACCTATAACAAAAAAAAAATACCTAAATATAGAAAATATATTATTTTTATCTTTATCAGTATCAGTATCAGTAACAGTTAAATTATTTATCTGGTATCTATTGATTTCTTTTTATTAGCTATTTTATTGATCCATTATTCGACTTCCACTTCCACTTGTACTTTTATTGTCGAGAGCCGGGGTTTCTTTTTTCCGTTTTGTTTTATTACACAATAACGGTGACCTCATTGAACGATAAATAAACGAGCTTGCAGGGTACTATTTTACTTGTATTATTTTATCTCGAAACGTGTGTAGCTTCTACTCATGGAGTCGTTATTAAAAGTGCGTATGGCCAATTTATGAGATCGTTAGAGAAATGGAAAAAGTGCGTTAACGATCGGTTAAATTTTGTTAGTTTTTTAACAGTCGAAATTGAATTGTAGAGAGGTGATTTTGTAAGGTGATTAGTGGAAGAAAAATGGGTTAGAAAATCAAAAAGTCAATGAGCTATATTGTTTAGAGAGTTTTTGATAAAAATATAGTGTGTTAGTAATTGATAGAGGAAACTGGGAAAAAAGAGAATATATTTATATTTTTTTCAAATTCTATATTTCAATAACTGTTAGTCAAAAGTTGATCACTACATAAATGAAATTGAAGCTGAAGAACTAATCTATCGAAAAAGATTTAGACCAATATTTTATCGTGAATGGTTTGAAAGATATAGCTGTTTAAAGATTAAGAATAAGTTTCCAAAAATTGAAAGTTTTATGATTTGGATACTTTTCGAAATTTTATATCTCGAAAACTATTGGTCGAAAGTCGAACATTACAAAAATGAAATTGATGCTTAAGGACTAATCTACCCAAGAAAATTTGGACCAATTTTTTATCTTCAATATTTCAAAAGTTTAGATGGTTTAAGAATTAATAATGAGTTTAAAAAATTCAAAGTTTTCTGATTTGGATACTTTTCGAAATTTTATATCTCAAAAACTATTGATCAAAAGTTGATCATTACAAAAATGAAATTGAAGCTAAAGAACTAATCTACCCAAAAAAAATTTGAACCAATTTTTTATCTTCATTATTTCAAAAGATATAGCTGTTTAAAGATTAATAATATGTTTCCAAAAATTAAAAGTTTTATGATTTGGATACTTTTCAAAATTTTATGCCTCGGAAAGTATTGATCAAAAGTTGATCATTACAAAAATGAAATTGAAGCTAATGAATTAATTTACCGAAAAAAATTTGGATCAATTTTTTATCTTCAATGGTTTAAAAGATATAGCTCTTTAAAGATTAATAAGTTTCCAAAAATTTAAAGTTTCATGGTTTGCATACTATTCAAAATTCTATATCTCGAAAACTATTGATCAAAAGTTGATCATTACAAAAATGAAATTGAAGCTAAAGAACTAATCTAACCAAAAAAATCTAGACTAATTTTTTATGTTCAATATTTCAAAAGTTTCGTCAATTTAAACATTAATAATAAGTTTCCAAAATTTCAAAGTTCTGTGATTTAAATACTTTTCAAAATTTTATATCTCGGGAATTGATAATCAAAGAATCGTTCCAAAACAAATAAATTTTTGAAAATTGAAAACTTAATCTCGATTTAATTATCTGTACGATAGTATACATGTTGGTTAGGTAAACTAAAAAGAATTTGACTATAAAAATAGTTGCAAGATAAAGGTCAAAATATTTTTTCTAATAAAACATTCTTATGTTTCGTATTATAACTTCAATACAGTTTTAAAAAATTAATAAACTCCTCAAAATGCTCCATAAAAATACTACAAAAATTTTAATAACACTAAAACTAAAAAGAAAAATAAATTGAGTAAATAATTTAGATAAGCAACAGGGTAATAATCTCGATATTGCAGGTTTTGTTGAGTAAACCTCTTCTATAAACTTTTTAATGCTTCCTCAGCAGGCTCTTCGGTTATTTGTGGTTCCAATTACCCATTCTTCGCACAGCAAACTAGACAGTTAAAATTCCAGCCCCTCGCCCCGGCTGGCTCGACGTCACACAACCGACCTCTAATAGGGCGTCATAAAATATCCGGGGTTGTATGAAAATTAATTGTGCCAGCAAGTTTCTCAGGTTTTCGTTAACCAGCTCCACCATCCCCACCCACATTCTTAGTAGCTCCCCGTTATTGTCCTGTTGTTCTTCATGTTTTTTTGTTGTAACATCAAAACCTGCTAAGGGAGTTTAATTTAATGCACCTGAGTCTTAAGTGAGCTTACGAGACTCATGATTTCAATCAGCGATAAATAAAATCGTGTGATTAACAGGAAAAGTCAATCTGAATGGACGCCGAGTCGATAATGAACTTTTCAATGAGAAAGCTCTTTACTTTGTTTTAAAGCCCGTCTTTCATCGTTTGTACTTCCACTTAGTTGGTATGAAACTACACAAGCTTCGCTCTACAATATTTGTATAAATAAACACTCTTGTGATTTCATTCCATAATAAAGCTTCGCTCATTTTCGAGCTTTAGCAAAGCGCTTTTACTCCCTGTTAATCATTGAAAGCAACTATTTATGTCAGCTTCTTCAACTAAAGATTTTTTGAGAAATTTATTTGCTGTTCTTAAATTTTATTATTGTTATTCTTTCGCCTATTTTCAATGTTCTTCCGTTTTTTCGTTTTCCTTTTCAAATTTTTTCATTTCAGTTTTCTTATTTAATTTTTTACTGTTCATTTTCATACTGATAATCCTTTTCCTTCTCATTTTGATGTTGTTCCATTTCATGTTCTTGTTCTTTTGACGGTTGTTCTTATTCTTTTTAATACCGCTGTTCCGTTTCTTTCTTTTTGTTGTTCATTCTTATGTTGTTGTTCCTTTTTCAGTTTGTTATTATTCCTTTTTAGATAGCTATTTTGTTTACTTTCTCTGTTGTCCCTTTTATATTGTTGTTCCGCGTCTATTTGTTGCTGTTCCTTTTCCTATAGCTTTTTGTAACATATATACTTAATAAAATACTAGCAACTTTGCAGTCACAATGTAACTGCCGTGAATTATGAACTATAGAAAATTAAAATTTTGCTTTATTAAATAACGACTTTTGTTAAATTACACTGTACTTTCTTAAATATTGACGTTTTTAAAGATATAAGCTCATCCCGATGTTACACTCATCAAGAGCTTTCATTTGAGTACCCACATACATTTATGATATATTTTTCATATATACATATATATAATATATATAAATATATGAAAAATTGATGTGGGTACTCAAATGAAAGGTCTCGATAAGTGTAACATCGAAATGGGCTTATATCTTTAAAAATGTCAATATTTCACAAAATACAAGGTAATTTCTTAATTTCTAGAGATAGAGCATTTTCGAATGCAGCCTAAATAATCATAATAAATTGAACTATAAAAAATTAAAATTTTGCTTTTCTGAAGAGTGACGTTTGTTAAATTGCACTGTATTTTCTTAAATATTGACGTTTTTAAAGATATAAGCTCATCCTGATATTACACTCATCAAAAGCTTTCATTTGAGTACTCACACGCATTTTGATATATTTTTCTTACATTCATATATATATATATAAATATATAAAATATATGAAAAATTGATATGGGTACTCAAATGAAAGGTATCGATGAGTGTAACATCGGGATGAGCTTATATCTTTAAAAATGTCAATATTTCACAAGATACAAGGTCACTTCTTAATTATGTATCTAGAGATAGAGCATTCTCAAATGCATTCAAATACTTATCATAATAAATTGACTATGGGTGAGAATGAAATGAAACCTTGAAGAGGCACAAATTCAATTCAAGACCTTTGTAATGACACTGAATTTTATTTAAAAAACCGATTTTATCATATGAATATCCTAGAAACAAAATTTTTCTTATTCTGTTAATAATACAGATAATAGCAACAAAAATTAACATATTTAAAAGTGAAATAAAATAATAAAATGCAAAGTAGATGTTAGAGTATCACTTAAGTAAATGCGCAAAAACGTAAACTGTTAAGCAGAAAGTAAACTAGTAATAGAGGGTAAAGAAGCTGTAATTACAGCAAGAAGTCCATTGAGGGCTTATTACCCAGTCAGAAGCGTTAACCTCTATCTGTATGCAGGCGATTCCAGAAAGTTTGGAGCGACCTCAAGCTCACAGGAATAAATATACACCCTAAAGTGTAATATCGCACTTCTCAGCTCCCGAACCCGCTACCCCGAGCCCTTATCCTAGTTGTTAGTACCCGGATTGGGAGGAATCGGGGGTAAAATTGTCGGGGATGCGATCGCCATCTGACCACAAGTTTTTAGCTTTAAGCCGTCTCGTAGATCGCACACTACACACTCCAAGTTCCTCCTCCAGGCTTAGAGTTACAGTTTCCTGGTTCTGCTCCCGGGTGGTGCTTCGGAGCTTAGTGACAAAACTATTTACTATACGAGAATTTGTTCGGGTTCTTGCGGTGGGTACTTAGAATTAAAAATAAAAACACGCTAGGTCGTACCGTTATCACAAGTGGAGTGAGGTGGAGATGAAGGGGGGGGATGAAACTAAGGGTCGGTTTTCTGGATAATTGAAAAATCAATGGAGGATTATTACCCAGAGGAAACGTGCCAAGGAAATAATCCCAGACATGCACGGATCATCCTGTGATAATTAACGACCGTCTGTGGTCTACAATAATTATCGGGCTGACATTATAGAGTGTCGTTATAATCGCCGGATTAATAAACCGGAAGATTGAGGATTGTGTCGACGGCCACAAGTAAATAAAGCTGCATTGAAATTAAAACTAGTTGATTCGAGATAAATATTCTCTCTAGAGTTGTAATCTTACTTTTAGATACTCAGTTGGGATTAATTTAAAAAATGTAAAAACAGACTCAAGAAAATAAAATGAAAAGGATAAACAAGAAAAGTTTTTCTGTCAAGAATTTTAACAATTCAACGAACCAGTTTATTGTTTCCGTACAACATTTTTTTTAAATAATCATATACTAGCGCTATGTTACTTCCGTGACTTGTGAATTATAAATAAATAAAATTTTGCTTTATTAAATAATGAATTTTGTTAAATTCCACTGTACTTTCTTAACTATTAAGGTTTTTAAAGATAAAAGCTCATCCTGATATTACACTCATAAAGAGCTTTCATTTGAGTACCTACATGCAAATTGATTTATTTTTCATATATACATATATAAATAAAATATAAATAAAATATGTGAAAAATTGATGTGGGTACTCAAATAAAAGGTCTTAATGAGTGTAATATCGGAATGAGCTTATATCTTCAAAAATGTCAACTGTTCACAAGATACAATGTCATTTCTTAACTATTGACGTTTTTAAAGATATAAACTCATCGCGATGTTACACTCATCAAGAGCTTTCATTTGACTACCTACATGCATTTTTGATATATTTTCCATATATACATATATATAATATATATAAAAATATGAAAAATTGATGTAGGTACTCAAATGAAAGGTCTCGATGAGTGTAATGTCGGGGTGAGCTTATATCTTTAAAAATGTCAATAGTTCACAAGATACATGGTCATTTCTTAATTATATATCTTGAGATAGAGCATTTTTGAATGAAGCCTAAATACTTATCATAATAAATTGACTATCGATAAAAATGATATGAAACCTTGGAAAGGTACAAATTCAAGTCAAGACCTTTGCAATGACACTAAATTTCACTAAAACAACCAATTTTATCATATGACTATCCTGGACACAAAATTTTTCTTATTCCTTTAATAATATAGATGATAATATCAAGATATATGTGGATAAAAAAATAACATGACGATTTCTAATTTTTTTTTTCAAGAAAAAGTACGTGAATAATAGTAACATAAAAATTTATCGATTAAATTAAATATATCCTTTTTTATCACAAAATCCTTTATTTTTCGCCAGTGCCTTATCTAACAAAGATAATTTATTTTTTATCGAAAAGGGAAAATTTCTTTTCACCAGAAAACGAGCTTTAAAATCAGAAATTCTTGATTCAAGACTACCAATTTTCTTCAAAAAATAATTTTCTATTCGATTCTATGTTTTTTTCCTTGTTACTATAACTGAGTTAAAAAAATCAAATTTATGTTTACTCTAAACCGATAAAATGAAATAAATAAAAAAATAATTGTCCGTTTTCTTAACTCAGCAATATTTCAGAAACGATTCCATTGGTCTAGCTCCGGATTTACGGCGCCATTATTTCCTGAGAGTGGCTCTACTCGCGAAGGTTTAAAAGCTACTCACCGTTAGCCCGCGGAAAATGCCCGTCAAGAGAATTTGCTGGTAGAAATAGACGAGCGAGTTGAACAGAGTGAGTGAGTGAGTGAGCTTGCGTCTGTTCTGTATTAAATCCGTTTACTCGACTGTATGTACGAGGAACCCGACGTACGTTTGTTAAATTTAACAAGATTGACATTAAAAATATAAATATAAAATATAAAATAGATTCTTCTGGTGGATGCTTTCTCGGCCGACATTCGGAAATGACTCGTGAATTTTTCAGTATCAATTTCCGTCAGCAAATTGGATTAGGTATTATCAGCGCATATGTGTGTGCTTGATAAAATAATTTCATTCTGTCGCTGACTGTAATACGTTACGTAACGAAGTACTACACTGAAAGTCGTACGTTTTATTAACTCAAGTCCCCGGGAGGTCTTTTACTCACATCACCCACTTTTTCTTTCCTTTCCTTTCCGTTACGTTCTCTTCCTTCTTTCTGCTTCTTTCCTTTATGTTTTTTATTTTATACTATACGGATCGTTGTTTCAACTACGCCGTGACGTTTAGTAAATTGAAAATTCTATTTCACAGCTTATTTTTCTTCACCGCGTTATGTTATTTTTATTCTGCTACTGTGATTATTTTAGTTTATTTTATTTAGATCTAAGCCTCTAAAAAAATTTTCTGACATAACCACATTTGGTAGTAAGAGATTTAACTATAAATCGTAAGTTGATACAATTGTAAAATTCATATTCAATTATTTATTGCACGCCTCATAAGCGAAGCGAATGAGGTTGCGCTCTACACTCGCCTTACAAAAATCAAACGATTTCTTGAACTAAAATTGTCTCTATTTATTTTCTATCGCACTTGTATAACAATATTTATACATAAATGTAATGGAAAAACACTAGTTTCTTCTTTAATTATCATCCAATAGTCATATGTGTTCATATATTGCCATATCAAAAAAAAATTGGTGCCTATTTATAGCTTGACATAAAAATTGGCCATATATGACTAAATCTGACTCAATATGTCCTTATATGACTTATTGTAACTATATTATGTGTAAAAATTTTTGTGTAGCAAATTACACTTTAGTGTGTATAATTTTACATTCTCATGTGTTGATTCAACACACTAGAATGTAGAATTAACATTAGTTTGTGTAAAAACAGTCAGTAACACAAATATTTGTGTTGAATTTGACGAAAATTTTTTTACTGCATGTAAAAAAAAGTAGAAAAGAAATTTTTTTTAATTAAAAAATTTTTTTTCCTCTGAAATTGTAGGAAATGACGTTAAAATATATTTTAGAAAGCTAAAAAAGCTTTTTGGAAAAAAAAAATTTTTTTACGAAATTTTGGGGGTACCCCATTTTGCCCCCCCCCCTCCCCTAAAATATTTGAATAATCAAAAAAAAAATATTAAAATGAACTTTATAGGTTTAATATTTTCGAGAAACTTTATTTTAATTTAATAACATTAAATGTTTAA